AATAAATGACGTTGGCACCTCTAGCGCCTTTACTTTTTTTGTCTTGTTTTTTTTTTTTTTTTTTTTTTTTTTTTTTTTGGAACTGATTTCAGTGTTGTTATTTAAAGCAAAAGTGTCTGGACAGAGGTTGGCTGCCTTTGTATGACAACGTTTTCATCTTCCTGCAGCGTGATTTCTGAGTTCCACCCTGTACCCTCATCATTAATTTGCTCTGTGAGTCTCCATAACTTTCGTATGTCTTTTTTTTCAAAGTTCAGGAACTTTGTTTTCTCCTGCCAGCTTCCCCTTTGAGCATGTAGTTTTGTTCTTACAAAAATTGCTTTTACATGCTGGTAGTTATTGTGATGTTTTCGTATGAACTAGTCTCTGCTTTCTTTCTGGATGTTTCCACTTCGTTATCATTTTGTAAATTTTCTAAATCACTATTATTACCCTAGCCAAACAAGGTGCTGAAGTCGGAGGCAACCCGCCATGGAAATATGTCTAATTATTGCCTCATAGTAGCAATATTTTAAATTTCCTAATGAAAAGAATGAAGGAGATGTTGAACGATCAGTTCAAGTTACTTCCAATTTTTACTCACTTCCTTCTCCGTTTCAAACACAAACATTTGAGCGAAGAAGCCGAGTGCCGTCATTCTGCTTATCTGACTCAGTATTCCACAGCTGGTAGTCATAGGTGAAGTCAAAATTGTTGGTTTCAAGTAAAGAATTCACTGAACGCAAGCTAGCACTATAAACTTCAACAAAGGGAGAGTATGAAACACGCACATAAACAATCAGACGCTTCCGAAAATAATTCTTCTGGTCGTTGTGCTGCTTGTTGATAAAGACTACGGGTGTAATATTCGATTTCTTCTGTGCATGTTGCATTCTAGTCAAACTACTGGACGTAAATTTGCCTAGAAAAACCATACATATGGGGTTGGCTCTGCAACGTCCTGTAAACGATACGCAACTAACCTAATACTTTATAGTCAAAGATGTATTGCGAATTAATTTCACCGACCTGAAAGCTCAACAGAGAAAATGGGAAAGACGTGTAAAAAATATAACTGATCGGTTAAATATATGCCCCTGTCCCATAATTTGAAGTGTTTCTGGTGCAAGCGTTCGGTCGACCATGGTTCGGCAGTATTTGTGTTCATTTTCTTGTGCCTATATTGAGCTGTCTGGTTACATTTTTGTTTTCCCCCTAACTACCACCTACCTCAGCCCGTCCAGGTCGGAGATTTCAGCAGCTATGAAGGTGACCCAGAACGCCCCTGTCACGCTGGACAGTTTGACGTAGATGTACACGTTGTGCTGGTCATCCTTCTTGGACGTGTGGAACGTCTGCAGCCTGGCCACGCTGTGGATGCTGTAGATGGTCATCAGGAAGAAGAGGATGTTGACGATGGTGATTAGAACCACTGGGGCAACTGTGGCAGCGGCTGTCAGAAATGTGGAAAAACGAATGAATGAAGTTTATATTATGTTATGTTAAAAGCAGGCAAAATTGTTATTCATTTTCAGCCGGCTACTTAAGAAGGGAAATGTCCAGAGAGCAGTGACATCAGTTCTGGATTTCTTCATTTATCCTATTTTTAACACCACCAGCATCATCACCATTCTACAAGGACATCATAAACCATATGACAGTAGATCACCGATCATAAACCATATGACAGTAGATCACCGATCATAAACCATATGACAGTAGATCACCGATCATAAACCATATGACAGTAGATCACCGATCATAAACCATATGACAGTAGATCACCGATCATAAACCATATGACAGTAGATCACCGATCATAAACCATATGACAGTAGATCACCGATCATAAACCATATGACAGTAGATCACCGATCATAAACCATATGACAGTAGATCACCGATCATAAACCATATGACAGTAGATCACCCCGTTAACCGAAGGGTAGAAACCGTCGTAATCACCGAGGAAAGGGATGGAGCACGTATGGTAATATCCTGAATTAACTGGTGAATTCATTCATTTATTCATTCATCGTCAGTCTTTCAGCATTTATCTACCCCTCACTACCTGTCCAGTGCTCCGCCACTTCTTTCAAAACGAGGCCTAAATCAGGATGCTGCCAGTAGCAGCTTGAGAAAGACAAGTTTTATCCTTCTGGTTCCGGTTTAAATGCCCACCATATTATTTCTCACACCCTGCTCATTTTTCAGTAGACTTTTGATGTTGCTTTTTGTTGTTGTTTTTAACGTTGCCTTTATTCTAGTTTCTAATGAAGGTGCTTTTGTTTCTGTTGCAGTTTTTGTTGTAAATGCTAAATTCTGTTTTGCAATTGTTTTTATTTTAATTTTTGAAGCCCATTTTGTTTTTGTTCTGTGTCGTTTTTGATGTTGTTCTTTTTTATGTACTTTTGGAATGTAATTTTGTTGTTGTTTTTGTTTCGTGTTTTTTTTTTTTTTTTTTGTCTTTCAGTGATGATTTCACTTCTGCTACAGTAGCTGTCCTCGTAGCTTTATTGTTGACTTTTGTGTACAACTGTAGATTCGATCTGGAGACACACAAGAAGAAACAATTAGTCATACACCTCACTTGACACCTGACGAAGACTTGAAATCGAAGATGTAAAAACGAGATACCTACCAACAAGAATTCTGTCGTTCAAATAACAGACGCTGCCACCGTATCCAAGGCTGCTTCCACCGGAAGTGACGTGTGCACCAACAACAACCGACGAAACAACAATGGCCGGGGCCAGCAAGGAGAAGGCAACATTCTTGATCAAGCTGACGTTCTGAGATCGAGGAGTTTTCTGTAGGTTGCGGGTCTTGGCGCCAAAAACTCTGTACATGTAGAAGCAGCAAAGGAAGTTCCACGCAAACATGTTTATCCATAAGAAGTGGGTCAGCATTCCCAAGGGGATGCACAGGATAGACTTGGTATCCCTGAGGGGCAAAATGTCATTTCGTTTAAACGACTGCAGCAGTTTATGTCAGTTGGTTGGCATTGCTTCTGATTTACATTCTTCTTCTTTTCCTTCTTACGTTCTTCTTGCAGTGGTTTTCAGGTCAGAAGGTCACAAGCCTTTGTTTCGCCTGTCCTCCACGGTTCCATACAACTTGATTTCCATTGGAATGTCAACCAGCCAAACCTAGAATCTCTCTACAGCGTGTAGAATGCATGTTTGTAGCTCTTTGAGTAACTTCAACAGGGCCATCACACTCATCATTCTACTTTTTGGGACACTGGCATAACAGGGAAGTTTGGAGTCATTCTCCAATTTCCAGGTTCGTCTATGAAATCTTTTACGACTTTCTGCGCTTTCGGGGAAGCTTCTCCAACTTGAGCGTGCTTTTCTGCTAGGATAAGCTTTCCTAAATACAGTCAGATTCTTATACATGGTAATTTGTTGGTTGTAATTCTCTGGAAGTGTTTTAATTCACGGCTCCCTTGATACTAAGGAAGTGACCATTTTTTGTTGATTACGGTGTAAGCCAAGTAAGCTACATCGCAGGGCTTGACCATCTACAAGGTATTCATTAAAAAAAATCCTGTTTATTTCACAAATGCAACTTTCTTTTAATATGTTTTAAACTCAGTTTATTTGTTTACAATTTATAAAAATTATCTAAATGTTGACCTTAGAGCCTTTTAGGTTTGAGGTGTGAACAACAGATCATTATCATGGCACATGGGCAGTAGCCCATAAGTGATCCGTTCGTCTTCTAACTCAAGCCTGAGTCTGAAGAGGCTCAGCACATTGCACAGGCTCTATAGTACCGGCGAGGATCCTAAAATACTTTGGGCAGATTTTTAACTACAATTTTTCCCGGGCCGCGCCTTTAGACTACTCTTTTCGATTTCCAACTACCAAATGATTTTTTTTTCTATGTGCAACAATGCACACGGGCGTTCGATCTTACTAAAAAAAGGTGCCGGTACTAACCACTCATCATCAGTCAGTAAGTTCTTTACAGAACGTAGCTCTCTTCACTGCACGCCTGAAAGTATCTTTTTCCCTAGTCAGCTCTCCAGTCCCATGTGCTTTTAATGCTAACGCATTTTCAATGTCTTGTATTCATATTTGCGATGGTCGACACCTGCCTCGACTTCCACAAGCTGCACCCTCCATCACCGTCTTATCCAAACGACCAAAATATTTCAACTTTCGTTACAGGATGCTGTTTATGAGCCAGTTCTTCTTGATGTTCAACTCGTTTAGAATATGATTTTCACTATTCGGCCGAATACGAATAACGGGACTAACTATTTGACCAAATACGAATACGAATAGTATATATATAAACATGAATACACACACACACATACACACACACACATTCATAATGTCTGATGTACGCTGAACTTTTACTTATCACAAAAAGCAGCACAGAATAGTCATCTTCTTCTTTAGCATTCTGAGCCCTTGAGGTTTACTGTTGCAGATATCACTCGTCTCCATTCATCTCTCTGGCTGGCCTTCTCTTCACAATTTGTGACACCAGTTGTTTGCAAGTCTGGCTGGACATTATCTCTCGAATTTCTTTTTTGTCTGCCGCATGGTCTTCGCCCATTTCTCTCTCATGTGTATACAGTTTTTACTTCTCTGTCATCTGACATTCTTTCAATATGCCCTAACTATCATAGTCTGTTAGCTCTCATGATGCCAGTGATCAATGGTGATTTAAACAGATTATGTGTCACGCTGTTGCTTCCCACTCTCCATTGCCCGCTGTTGGCATCTGTGATGGGTCCAAAGATTTGCCGTAAGACTGTTTTCGAAAACCCGTAATAAGGCCTCATCTCTTTTATTTCTGCTTCAAGTTTCAGCCATATAAAACGACTGGTCTTTTGGACGTTTTATATATTTTGATCTTGGTGTTGCGAGACAGACACTTTGAATTTAGCAGATGTTGAAGAGCATAAAATAGTTTATTTTTAGATTTATTCTAGATTGCATTTCTTCTCTCCACATGTTGGAGCAGATGAGGTTTGCACCCAAGTATTTGTATGTTTCCGTTCGTTTGATTGTCATATTATCGACTTGGATATGGCTGGAGTTTATATTCTTTCCATGTCTAGTTAGTATTTGTACAGAATAGTAAACATTAAAAAACATTTTATGTTTTGCATCCTTCCGTCAGTCTGTAGTAACTAATAACAAGGAATGAAATAATCCTAAGTATTATAACACGTAACTAAACTTGGAAATTGTCACTGACAGCTTAGTTTTTGCAGGAAAGCTGGATTACCTTTCAACAAAGCCAATTGTTCCATGTTGTCAGCATTAAGGCCGTGTATGCAGAAGCGGGTGTAAGGTAACTACTATTCGTACTCGGTCCGACCGCAACTATTCGGCCGAATACCGAATAGTCAATAGGTCCACTACTCGGCCCCGAAGCGAATACGAAGTGAATATTCGGTACAGCCCTACTTACTATATCTATGACAGAGTAGAGTAAGAAAGCCCATGAGTGCTAAAGTGGTGTTAGAAAGCACAGGTGTGGTAAAATAGAGTTAGAAAACACATGTTTGGTTAAATATTGTTAGAAAGCAAAGCGCAGGTGTGGTAAAATAGAGTTAGAAAGCACATATATGTGGTAAAATGTAGTTAGAAAGCACAAGTAAAACAGAGTTAAAAAGCATATGTTTAGTTAAAAAAAATAGTTAGAAAGCACATTTGTGGTAAAACAGAGTTAAAAAGCACAGGTGTAGTAAAATAGAATTAGAAAGTACATGACTGGTTAGGCAAGAAAAAAAAAAGAGTCACAAATCAAAGGTGTGGTGAAATAGAGTTAGAAAATACAGGTATGGTAAAATAGAGTTAGAAAATACAGGTGTGGTAAAATGGAGTTAGCAGGCGCAAGTGTGGTAAAATAAACTAATAAAGCACATGTTTGGCAAAAAAAAAAAAAAATAAAAAAAAAATAAAGTCAGAAAGCACAGGTGTGGTGAGTTAGAAAGCTCAGGTGTGGTGAGTTAGAAAGCACAGGTGTGGTGAGTTAGAAAGCACAGGTGTGATGAGCTAGAAAGCACAGGTGTGGTGAGTTAGAAAGCAGTCATCATCATCGTCATAAACCAATTCTGCCCTTAAGCGGCGTGGGGAGGAATAATTTGCGATCCAGTGCACGTCGGCTGCAACTGGCTGTTGTCATGCCGTGCAGGCGTAGAGTGTCTTTAATGTTGTCGATCCATTTTTCTCCACTGCCATCCTCTTGTTCTTGTTGTTGATCTTCTGAGGTGTAGCGCATGTAATGGTATTTGATCTTGCTGCATTCTAACGAGATGGCCAAACCACTTGATCTGCTGTTTCTCAGTGAATCTAGTACAAGGTGTCGTGCCCAAAATTTTCCTCAGAGTTTCATTATTCACTCGATCTCGTATGGTTAGGTTGGCTGTTTTTTTCAGGCACCTCATCTTGCAGGTGGTGATTTTGCGTATATGGGCTCTAGATAGTGTCCATGTCTGACACTGGTAGCTTAATGTTGGATGAATATGCTATTAATAATCTGTCTTTTTGCACTCATAGTTATGCTTGGATGTCTTAATAATGGTGACAATTGGTATATAAGTGACTTGCTTTCTGACATCTGGTTTCTATTTCTATGTAGAAAGCAGTGTTTCTGTAAAAAGGAGGAAATTGCAACTTGTAAAATTAAAACTAGCAAGGAAACAGCCCAGACAAGCAGACGTACAGACAGACATACACAGACATACACAGACATACTTACGTGAAAAAACTAGCCAGCAAAGACGCCTGGGCCAGAAACAAGCTGAGACAAAGACACAAGTTGTTTCTCCAAGCAACACTTCGCAGAACAGAGAACCTCGCATACGTCACAATGGTCAGTAGAAGACACAACATGGACACGCCCATGCAGACAAAAGTCAGAAAGTACTGAACTGTCTTGATTAAACCTGCCTTCTCTCTGATCCGAGACATTAAGGTTATCTGCTCGTCGAGAAAATCGCAGCAAATTTGTAGCTCTCCTTTGGCATCGACAGATATGTTACTGAAGCCATAATTATTGGCGATGGTTATTTTCGTGGTGGCGAAATTAAGCTTGATAGCAACATTTGGCAGAAGATGTTTGTAGTCCGTCTCAATAAGATATTGTGATCTTGGAAAACTGACAAATTTACATGTCAATATTCTTGTAAGATTTAGAAATAAGTCAAGAACACTGGAATAGACACTAAGAAAATTCCGAGGTCTTGAACCAAAATGTATGACTTTGTCTTCAAAACATGTCATGTCTGTGTTGTTCTCTTCAATATCCATACAGTATGTTGCAATATCAAAATCATGCCACATTTGTACAGGCTTGAAAGGTAAAGATACCTGTTCGTCAAAATGTGCATAAAATTCTGCATTCAAGAGTGTGTCATATATTGTCTTTTCGAAAGAGTCTCTACTAATCTTACCGTTGGCAACGATGTCACCTGTTACCCAGTATAAGTACGGAACATGGAAGTGGTAATCTTGTAGATTAGTCAGATGTCTGCTGGAAGGAGGCGAAGGCTCAGAAGTACCATTGTCTGTTTCAAGGAAAGCTTCCATCGTTGACGTGTTTAGCAAAACTCCATATGACAGTTTGGCATATTCAACTGAAGGAATCAGGTCTCTCAGCTGCAAGACAATTTAATAATTTGACAATATATTTCATTAGGGCTATTTTTGTATCTCTACCCACAAAATTATAGCTGCACCATACACTCTTTCTGATGGAGAATTTAGTCATGCGGAGAGCGTCCGTGGACTTTGTGCCCCAGATGTTCAAGGTGAAGGAGGAGAAACTCCCAGTCCGGAAGTTCATGAGTACCGAAGATCTTGTGGCATCGGTGGCGTGCATCTAATACGATGCTGGATGAGCCCGCCACAGCATATTGGAGTTCTATGTTTCTATTGAAACAGGCGCTGGACGACTGTTATATAAATTGAATTAGGCTTATTTAAGCGAGCTAAAAACCCGGCCAACTTGGGGTCAGGAAGTGATAGAACAGACGGCAGTGTTCAGTTCGCCCTCTTAAGCCTCTGGTTTTCGGACGAGAAACATGTAGTTCTGATTTGTCCGTTGCGTTCAATGGTTTTACGCAACGTGGGTTGAGATGTGTAGGCAAAGATAGGTTCCATCTGTTGTATGGTATTTTCTAACACGTTGTGAATTTTAATGCATTATTATTTGTTAAGACCTTAGATGATATTCAGTGAAATAAATAGATGTGAATTTAGTTCCAGTTGCTTTGCTTCAGATTAGGGCTTGTGGTTAGTGTGTGTAGTTTATTTATTTGTTGCCTGGCCTATTAGACTTTACACAGAAAATCTCGTGTCTGGACTAGAATATTCATTTTTCTAGTCCCCACCTAAAGAACTATTTTCCTTTATTTTTTATCTTAGTACTTAGGGCTTCTCGGTCCTAGTACACTATAAAGAGCACTTTCTGAGAGATCTTTCCATAGGCTCTGGCTCATGAACAAAAATCACATGATAATTATGAATTGGTCTGGGATTTCACAAAATGTAAAACCTCATCGAAAATGTGGAATCTGTTATGTGACAAAGCTCTAATTCAGGTTTGGAACAGGACTCATGTTCGGCTATAGAAGGTTCACAGTCAGTGAGTTCCGTAAAATGTTTGTTAACAATACAGGAGGTGTTTTGATGAAGTAAGATGAATATGTTAGTGCCGTTAATAATAATGATAATAATAAGTATGTAAAAAAAAAATGTTTTTTTCGGGGGCAGTGATCTGATGTATGTTTTAAGTTAGTTTGTTAGAGACGTTCAAAATAACATTTTGGAAAAAAGGTAACTTCTCAGGTGTTCTTTATAATTTGTTATATTTGATTAGAACACGAGCCTACACACATGCATATACAAATATGTATATATATATATATATATATATATATATATTTTTTTTTTTTTTTTTAGGTTCACTACTGTAGATATCGGGTTCGTCTTCTCTTTCCAATTGGTGACACCAACTGTTTGTCGACGTGTTTTGTATGAATGTGTGTATATATATATATATGCATACACACACGTGTGTGTATATATATATACACACACACATATCTGTGTGTAAATATGTGTGTGTGTTTATTTATATATATATATAGAGAGGTACTGTAATGTTATGAATTTTCCGGGAAATCCCAGAGAGTTCCCGATTGGGGAGGCAAGGTCAGAGGACCAGTGAAACAACAGGAAAGCGAGATAAGCAGGTCTCGAGTATCCCGCGGTGCGTGAATAGGGATAAGAGGAAAGCGTGAGACTGGAACGGAAGATGTGAAACCAGAGAGGGTAGGAAGGCAGTTAAAGTTCGGACCTGGATGTGTGCGGTCGAATTCGAGAGAACAGCTGATGAGAATACAGAACATCTGACCACGTGTACTTGTTCGAGAGCAGAAATGAATGATTCCTATTTGCAAGTTTCAACTGTGTACAAGTACCAGGTACAATACGTTAGTATGATACAGAGGTATGATCCGAAAGGTAATGGCAGAGAGAATCACCGTGTGAGATAGTTGACAATGTCATCAGGAATCAGCCATGTGTAGCGACCACGACAACACAAGGAGCGCATGGAAAGTATGGTTGGTGTAACAGCGAATAAAGATCAATAGCTGAATGTTCATCGTCTGGGATATTCTTAGCAAATGCGTGTACCCAAGAACGTCAATATAGCAATGTGACGAGTTGAATCAAACCCCTAGCAGAGCACATTACATACATGCTCAAATACACATATGTGTGGGAATATGTATATGGAAGATATCAAACAAATTTTGAAAAAGGCAAAAGACACTGCACCAGGGCCTGATGGAGTCAGGTATGGCCACATGAAGGCTATGAGCGATGTAGACCTGGCAGAGATGGCCGAGTGTTTTAACCAGAGCATTAAGACTCTCCACAACTTGGGGGAATATTGATGCATGGTCAGGGAGACGTGGTTAGTGCCTTGTGGGAGAGCGTGCATAATTCGGAGCAGCAGTTGGATCACCACAGTTTGGTGAGATTGATTCAGCGGGGAGACACGAGTGGATCTCGCGATACTCAATATTCAAAATAAAGGCAAGACGAACGTTTAGTCAGAATGCTGCTGGCATCATTAGTATTGGAACTCTGCACTGGCTACTGAAGATGGGGACGGAGCGCTTATTGAAATGACCCGAGTGCTGTGATGTTGGTTCTTGAATCAAGTCAACTTGACACAATTGTATGTGTGTCTGTATGTATACACACACACACACACACACACACACACACACACACACACACATATGTATATATATGCTTTTATATTTACATGTGTATACACACATATGTGTGCGGGTGTTGTTATAAAACCCTGACCATGCTATTGAACGCGCATAAAAGAGTCACGCTTCTCGAGTCAGTTCACCTGAAAATTGAATGCCCAATTATGGTTGCCCTCAGTAAAAAATAACAACTCAATATCACTGTACGTCTACAGGTTAGCAAGCCACAAAGTGCAGTTCCCGACAATGTAATGCCGTTAGACGTACCAGCAGTCGCTACCAAAGAAACTAGCTCAGTGACAGACCGGTTACACAGTAGAAGACCCTGAGTCACAACACATGTTCAAGACCGTTTTATGCGTCCTCGTCACTTCAGGAATCTATTTGCATTTCCTTCGACCGCAGTCTAATTTAAGTTCTAACGGTCAAGAACCGGCTGCGTGACGTTGGTCTTTTGGTTCGATGACCTTTCAGAGGTCCTGTTTTTAACAATTGACAAAGACAAAACGGACTGCAGTTTGCAAGGCAGCATCGTCAATGGACCACCGGGAATGCTCGGAGAAGGGTCTGGTGTAGTGGTGAATTAATAGATGTGCTCCAGGATCAGGAAAGAAGGAGAAGCTACGCTTGGAACTGTATGGATGGGGCTCCTTCACATGTACGTGTGTATACTGATGTAGAGAGCGATCAGCTACCTCGGAAGAAGTCACCTGGTGCTAACTAAAGGACGCCGGAATGCCCAACGATACGTCGCTGCAATTCGTCAGCAAAATATGTTTACTGCCAATCTCCAACAGTTATATCTTGCAGAGCCATCCCACAACAGATCCAACGGCTAATCACATCAATACCAATAGATGCCATTGTCTAACAAAGGCCGTGGGAGGTCATACATCCTACTAAAACGTACAAGGTCCGACATATGAGTAAAGAGACTGATGTGATTATGGTCAAGACAAAACGGCCATCTAAGAAGCAATGCATGGAATCCAAAGAAACAATCTTCATCTATGATCTGGCAACTTTTCATCGCCGCCTGATAAGCAGACAGCTTACAAGCTGTCATTTTTTGACCTAGTCAAAGGTGCATTGTTACGTAATCAGCATGGAGCACAAAGCAAACATTAAATTCTGTTTAAAACACAGAAAAAGCACCATTGAGACAGCTGAAGTGATGCAACAAGTTTATGGGGATAATTTTTCACTTTTTGCATAGATTTTCAGATGATATTAATGATTCAAAAGTGGTGTGGAAGTGATTACTAATCCAACTATACCTGGACGCCCAATTTCTGTTCGTAATGAGGATCTCATTGCAAAAGTCAGAGAAATAATTCAAAGGGATAATTTTTCTTTTTATTTTGTTACTGTGAGAATGATGGTAGATGAATTTGGTGTTAATAGAGAGACCATTAGTAAAATTGAGGTGCAAGATTTGGGCAAGAAAAATGTTTCTTGCTGGTTTGTACCCTCTTCACGACAATGCACCAGGTTACCGAGCAGTAGTTGTACAAGAATTCCCCCCCCCCCTTCCTAACATGAGTGTGTATTCTCAACCATGCACCCTATTTCCCAGATTTATCTCCCTGTAATTATTTTCTATTCCCAAAATTAAAGTTACCATTGAAAGGACGCTTCTTTGACGATATTCATGACATTCAAAGGGCAGTAACATCGACTTCAAGGACCATAACAACAGAAGAACTACAGAGGTCGTTCCAGTGTTTGTTAGATCGTACCACTTGCTGTATCAGTGCACAAAGGGCTTACTTTGAATAAAATACAGGTTATATCTTGATTATTTTAATTTTTATAGAATTAGTCTCATTACTTAAGTGTCGCACCTTGTAAGTCCCATTTGCAAAAGAATAAAAGCATAATACGAAACGTAAAAATCCTAACTACACTCCGTAGTGTACCTCCTTCTCGTTCCTTTCAGGACCGAATTTTCTATAACTTAAACCTCTACTCTGGCTCTTGCCAGGGGCCGCAATACAGCCTGGCCACAAATATGGCCCAAAGGCTGAACGCGGTTTCTTGGACCTCCCCACTGTGATCATCGCCCGCATGGTGGCAGTTTGTGTCATTGGGTGTCTATCGCTTGTGTGATGTTCTAGTGGGGTAAAATCTACTACTGCCTGTTACAACTGCAGTAGTGTTGTTTTCATTTGTGTGGACAGTATCTTTAAGTATAACAACTTTTAAAGGATCTAATGTGAAAATGTGCGTGTGCCTGTGTCGTCTCCACAAGGAAAGTTGGCTAACAAGTACCATTTTTTGTCGTTGAGAGTAGCACGTTGTGAGGCCTCAAAGCACTTTTCTTTTACTTAGTTTATCCCATCGCGAGGACTCCGAGATGTCGCAGCTAGTTCCTGAGAATGTTAAATATTAGTGAAAGGGTTAGTATTGGTGGCTGCTCATTTCACCCTAACATCCCTACACTATTGGCCTTTTCCTACAACTGACCACGAAATCTCGGAATTCCCGAGATTGGGTGAATTCTCTTCCTCGGTGCCACTCTCATACCATTTTCCGAAAATCACGAACACTCGTATTTTCTGCAACCATCCCCCGTGCGAAATGAACCTCATTTCTCGAGGATCAGATTAGAGAATAATATACTTGAATATATGAGTTTAATAATGTGCAGTCATATAAACTAGAACTCACCTTACGATAGAACATATCCAGAGCATATCTTGACTGCGACACACCTGTTGTGTGTCTGATCTCTGTTACATTGTCCCCTCCCGGGAAAAACCACAGCCGTAGTCTATACCCTAAGCTTGTTATCTGGGTCACGGCCGTGGTACAGTTTCCATCAATGAGAATCTTCCCCGGGGAACAGTAAGCCGGAACACACCCCTGTCAACAAAGATGAAAGACAAATCATGAAATGAGTCTGGGAGTCTGATAGTCTTAGTTTCAGCTTCATAGCAAACGGGTCACCCCATCTTCGCTCCGCTCCTGTGCCAACGAAAAACCCACAGAATGTTTATCACAGTCCCTTGTGGAAAGATTGACAGACTGCTGTCTCAGCATATCTAGCATACACCCGCATTAAAGCATACGATAGCCATCCTAAGTGCTAACACAAACAGTCCGACATTAAAAATGCATTTCATCATTGATGGAAGCAGAAGTCACCAACAGATCAACAGTAGCCCACACAATCAATTTTAATCACATAATGGCACCACCAACATTGCGACAACCGGCATCGCGCCATTTTCTGAATCTACAATTCACACCACCACGTAGGTGACAGTCGAAGAAACACTTCAAATGAAATCCGCAGCTCACAGTGTCACGCCATGCATTAAACTCAGAAGCTGGGCGACGAAGGCGACGAAACTATATCCAGTCTACAAATGGAGGGAAAATGCATCAGCCACAGTCCGGCATTACCAAAAGAAAAATTGTCTCGGCTCTAAACAGTGACCTTGCCTAGCGACTATTTTGACCGGAATGAGAATCTGATGCACTCATCTAACCTCCATTTTCTCAGTTCAACACTGAGGAACTTTGACCCCTCCCTCAGCAGGTGTTCTTTTTGATCCAGCGACGGCAGCGCTGCAGCCAAAGGCCCAGTGTCACATGGAAAAAATGGGGTGGGGGTGGGGGGGGGGGGGTCTTAAAGACACGGGAGATTTCAGACGCCGTAAAAACCCCATCTCTCAGTCTCATTAATTTAGAGGGTTGTTGCTGAAAGCTTCCCACCCCCTGTTCAAGCCCCCTCCTCTCCCCTGGGGGTAGTGAGGAGAGGGGAAAAGGCAGCCAGTCCCCTTCAAATTTATAGGAAGTGAAGTTGGGAGCAGGAAGGGAATCATTGGGATTGAACCCTGTTTAAGTGCACATGAAACAGCAATTATATATATATATATATACTTATATGTATCCTGAATCACAAATACACATATTAAATATATTTGAAAAAATATGAAACATAGAAACAAATACTTTTAAAAATACGCCTAACGAGGGATGAGGGTGCTTAGCTCTTGACTAGATTTCCCAGGGGAAAGAAGTGGCCTCAGTCATCCCACAGATATTGGTTATAATATCATACTATATCGTAAAAAGTTATCCACGTGACACATAATAGCTGAGTTCGAAAAAAATAAGTTGAGTTTAGTTGTGAGGATTTTAGACTAAGACTCTCAGAATCTTATATATATATATATATATATATATATATATATATATATATATATATATATATATATATATATATATATATATATATATGATTCTAGGAGTCTTCATATTCTTTTCACGCCATCAACATTGCGACGACAGGCTACGTGCCATTCTCTTAATTTACAACTCACAACACCACGTTGGTCAGTTTCGAAAAAGATTCCAAATGAAATCTGCATCTCACAGGGTCGCGCCATGCACTCAATTCATTAGCTGGGCGACGAAATTATATCCTTTCAGTCTACCAATGGAATCAAAAATGCAACGGCCACGCGAAACAGCGACCGTGCTTGGCGTCCCTTTTGACCGGAAGTCACTAGGGAAGGATAGCACGAATTGGCGTGAGGTGATTGAGGACCTGTGCTCCACTGGGGGGGGGGGGAGGGGGATATAATGCAAAAGAAGAAGAAGAACAAGAAGACACCATTTGTGGAGATGGTAGCTTCGTCGGCCAAATGTGTGGGGCGTAAAAGTCTCAGGTGTACTTAGGGGCAAAGAGTAGACAACAGTGCTCTCCTGGTGGCATTTGTTACCTGTTTATTCTGCAGTACTGGCGACATCTGTCAATGATTTTATTTACTTTATTAAATCCAAATTATTGCAGTTTCACATGCGGACCTAAATACTCAGGCTAAAAAACCGGCCAGTCTACACCGCAAAAGTGCTAAACACAGGCAATACAGACGTTTTTTTTTTTTTTTTAAACAGGTGTTTAAATAGTAATTGGAACTTCGCAATAAATATAAATCAGTATTTTTAATATGAGCAATTTTTAGTAAATACCTGAAAACAGGTTGAAAAATAAAGTCAAACATTTTGAAAAAAAAAAAAATAGACAAATAAAATAAATTATTAGGTTTTAATAATTGAACCGCCATAAGAAATGTAAAAACATACTTACATCTGGACTAGCCCACTGTGTAGTGTTACAAGTTTTCCCTATCACCGTTTGATGGGTGGTGGGAGATTTGTCGCGGAGGTTGAACAAGATTGAATACAGGGAGGTAGCTGACGGTTCGCCTGGAAAGGGAGGGTGGTAATGCGGACAGATCGCCGAGGTTGAGTAGTCTTTCTGTGTGCAGGAGGAACCGAGTTTCAGGAACAACAGACAAGAAAGAGGAATCACAAGAATGTAGAAGTTACAGGTACATTTATGGCGCGATTTATAAATGGTGTAATTTCTGTCCTTCAATGTTAAATGTTGTATTAAGAATTGACATCACGGCACCCGGGACACTCCCATAAGTGCTCAGTCCCCATCTTCAGCAGCAAGCGAAGACTTCCAATTAAGATGGTACCAGTAAACGTCTGATGGTATATCCGTCTCATCCTTCCCCTGAGTGTTGAGCGTCGGCCAGATCCCCTGGTAACTCCTCGCAGCACCATTCTCCTCCATGATCTATCTGCGCCTTCGCACTGTTACCCCGTTCCCAAAGGGTCCTCGCAATATCTAGCTTGTCATACACCAGTTCACCACCAAGTGACGCAGAGCCAGCCAGTCACTATTCTCTTAAGTAGGTAAAGGACCTTTTTCTACATCTTCATGCCTATTGGGCGTATAGGGCTAGACCTACACTTTATAGACCATTCGGCACTCAGTTGGTGATGTGGTCAATATCACGCCTGTCGCTTTGACTTCCAAGGCCTATACCTAGTACCCATTTAAGACTGGGTCGACCTGTGAGCCGAGGTCATGTTTGATACAAAGTCCGGCTCCGCCAGGATCTGAACTCACGACCTTCTGATCCGCAGGCTAGCGTCTAGCTGCTATATAACGGTGGCTCGCATCCTTACAAAAGTATCTGTAAAATACTCGTAGATTGGTGTTAGTTCATACATGGACTACGGTAGTTTTTAACTATCAAATAAATATTTATTTAATGATGTTTCATAGAATACAAGAAGGTCTTTGACTGGGTGCTACGCGAACAGCTTATTGTGTGCCTCCAGAATATAGGATTAGACGAAAAGGATATTATAATTATTAGTAACCTAAACTTAGAACAAACAGCAACAGTTAGCCACAACAACATCGCATCGCTACAGATGAGATAACAAGAGGAGTACGTCAGGGATCAGTGTTATCCCCAAGTCTTTTTAACTTATATACAGAAAACATTTTTAAACAAGTTGAAGAACTGCCTGGACTGAAGATTATTGGAAGATCAATAAAAAATATGAGATATGCTGATGATACAGTGCTGCTAGCAGAAAACGAGGTTAAGGATCTAAAGGATCAGTCAAGTCAACAGATGGAGTGCAGAGTATGGTTTTATTATTCTTCTTTTCTTTTTCTTCTCTTCCACCTTGTACCTCATCGAAGTGTCGGAGGGAGATGTAATGTTCATTTCTGTAAGGCTGTTCTTAATGCCATTACTCCATGTTTTCCGAGGTCTTCCACTCGCTTTATACCCGTTGTAACGTTTTAGTATGGCTCGCTGTGGCGGATAGTACCAGGGCATTCTTGTAAGGTGTCCAAACCACTTCGTTTGTATTTCTTTGATAACTTGTAAGACTGGCTTTATTACTAGCATTCGTCTGATTTCATGATTTCGTATTAACTCCTGCAGCTCTTCTAAGGAATTGTATCTCTGTTGTCACAATTTTACGTTCACTGCAGGATGTAAGTGTCCACGTTTGGTATTGATAGCATAGTGTTGGCCAAACAATAGTTCTTATAAGATTCACTTTAGTACTCAGAAGTATCTGCTTGTGTGTCAACAGGGGAGATAGTTGCCCCATTACTTGATTAGCTTTGGCACATCTCGAGCTAATTTCTCTGTCCAGTTTTCCGTCTGAAGTAAAAATTGCTCCCAAATACTTAAATTCCTCTGTTTGTCACAGGGTGTTGTTTTTTTAAATTTTATTTCTAAATTGTCTTTATGTCTTCCTATCATCATTGTCTCTGTTTTCATAGTGTTTATTTTCATATTATATTCCTCCCCTTTGTTACTAATTTGATTCAGGTGGTTCTGTAGGCATTCCGTATTTTCTGCTATGAGTACCTGGTCGACGGCGAAAAGTAATTCTGTGATATATTCTTCATGATTAAAGTTCGTTTTGCTACATATGGTATCCATGTATGGTTTTATTATTAACAAAACAAAAAACTAAACGGAAAAGGACGACCAGCAATGAACATCACAGCAAACGGAGAGATACACATGAGAACAAGTAACAAATTTCTCTTCTCTTGGTCACGTAGTAACAGATGATGTAAGAAGTGAAACAGAAATCAAAAAGAGAATCGGGATGGCTTAAACTATTTTCAGTAAGATGAAAAAATTTTTGATAGCCAGAGATACAAACAAAACATTAAAATATGAAAGTCATCAACTATTATGGTATACTCAACCCTCATATATGATGCAGAAACTTAAACAACGAACAAGCAACTGAAAAATCGAATTGAGTTTCTGGATATAAAGAATAGATAGTATTTCAAGAAAGCAAAATCAATCAAATAGAGAGGTTCCGTAAAGACTACTACTGAAAACAAGATTGAAATACTTTTACCACATTGAAAGACACAACATGCTTTTAAAAACCATACTGGAGGGAAAATCGAAGGCAAGGGAGCTAGAGGTAGACGATGTTACAAGTGGTAGCACAACATCAAGAGATGGACGAACAGCAGACTGAGAATTTACAGCAAGGATAGGGATCCATTGCAGCTGAAGAAGAAGAAGAAGAAGAAGAAGAAGAAGAAGAAGAAGAAGAAGAAGAAGAAGAAGAAGAAGAAGAAGAAGAAGAAGAAGAAGAAGAAGAAGAAGAAGAAGAAGAAGAAGAAGAAGAAGAAGAAGAAGAAGAAGAAGAAGAAGAAGAAGAAGAAGAAGAAGAAGAAGAAGAAGAAGAAGAAGAAGGAGAAGAAGAAGAAGAAGAAGAAGAAGAAGAAGAAGAAGAAGAAGAAGAAGAAGAAGAAGAAGAAGAAGAAGAAGAAGAAGAAGAAGAAGAAGAAGAAGAAGAAGAAGAAGAAAAAGAAGAACAAGAAGAAAAAGAAGAAGAAGAAGAAGAAGAAGAAGAAGAAGAAGAAGAAGAAGAAGAAGAAGAAGAAGAAGAAGAAGAAGAAGAGAAGAAAAAGAAGAAGAAGAAGAAGAAGAAGAAGAAGAAGAAGAAGAAGAAGAAGAAGAAGAAGAAGAAGAAGAAGAAGAAGAAGAAGAAGAAGAAGAAGAAGAAAGAAGAAGAAGAAGAAGAAGAAGAAGAAGAAGAAGAAGAAGAAGAAGAAGAAGAAGAAGAAGAAGAAGAAGAAGAAGAAGAAGAAGAAGAAGAAGAAGAAGAAGAAGAAGAAGAAGAAAGAAGAAGAAGAAGAAGAAGAAGAAGAAGAAGAAGAAGAAGAAGAAGAAGAAGAAGAAGAAGAGGAAGAAGAAGAAGAAGAAGAAGAAGAAGAAGAAGAAGAAGAAGAAGAAGAAGAAGAAGAAGAAGAAGAAGAAGAAGAAGAAGAAGAAGAAGAAGAAGAAGAAGAAGAAGAAGAGAAGAAGAAGAAGAAGAAGAAGAAGAAGAAGAAGAAGAAGAAGAAGAAGAAAGAAGAAGAAGAAGAAGAAGAAGAAGAAGAAGAAGAAGAAGAAGAAGAAGAAGAAGAAGAAGAAGAAGAAGAAGAAGAAGAAGAAGAAGAAGAAGAAGAAGAAGAAGAAGAAGAAGAAGAAGAAGAAGAAGAAGAGGAAGAAGAAGAAGAAGAAGAAGAAGAAGAAGAAGAAGAAGAAGAAGAAGAAGAAGAAGAAGAAGAAGAAGAAGAAGAAGAAGAAGAAGAAGAAGAAGAAGAAGAAGAAGAAGAAGAAGAAGAAGAAGAGTAAGAAGAAGAAGAAGAAGAAGAAGAAGAAGAAGAAGAAGAAGAAGAGAAAGAAAAAAGAAGAAGAAGAAAAAAAGAAGAAGAAGAGAAAGAAAAAAAGAAGAAGAAGAAAAAGAAGAAGAAGACCAACGCAGTAATTAAAAAACTACCTGGTTACAGAGAGCACAGAATATATTCTTGTAGACTCTCTGATGTGCCATCACTGTATACTTGTAATTCTGTGGTGTCGGGTAAGTACATCCGGCCACCACATCTTCATCAGCTTCAGGCCACTGGCCTAACTCATTGCAGGTGTCTATTATTGGAGACCTGTGGAGTTGAATATAAAGGGGCTGTATTCACAGACTGCTAGTTTGACAGTGGGGTGGGGGTGGGGTGGGTGGGGTGGGGGGGGGGGAGACAGAGAAGGAGAGAGAAAGTCAGAGAGAGAGATTATGAAAAAATTAAGAGGTACCTTAGCGTAGATGGAGAGATATAAGGTTAGATAAAATGAAACAGATACATTCATGAAGTGTGTGTGAAGAAATAGAACAGTTACAAAATGTAAATTTTCGTTTGTTAGTGATAGCTAATCTCTGAAAGGTCTTCGCCAATTGCTTTCAACTTCTGACACAACGTTGCATTCAAACAGGAGAGTTTTTTTTTTTTTTTATAAGAGTGTGGCACAAAGCACGAAATTCATACTTCCTGGGTCAACACATCGGCATCTTGGTTTTGTTTTGCGACGATCCGATATTTTTTTTCTGTTGCCACATTTCCGGTGCAGGATTTTATTGGTAGGCTAACTTTGACTTTTGACCTCTGTAATCTACATGAAGCTGTCAATATGGGGACGAAGAGTATTTGAAAGACTATAGAGAGAGAGTAGTCGGTGGACTGGGAAAAATAAGGGTGGGGGGGGGTGGTGGGGGTGACAGAAACTGTTAACTGAGAGAGCTTAAAGTCTAAGTAACGGCCTTTCCCGCAAGAATAATCTGCTCATAGTATTAGCAGTGGTAGTAGTAACAGAATAGTAGTTGTGGTTGGCCAGGTGGTAACAACGTCGGGCTGTCATGCAGGAGACCCGGGTTCAACCCCCGGTGAGGTGATGGAGTTCTTCTGTCGGGGGCAAAACTTCACATCCCAACAGAGCATTCGCTGGCGACAGCACTAGCCATGCGGCACTAAATCCCGTGGCTCACGACCCCCTATCTAAACCGACACTAGACAAGTGGTAAATCAGACAGTAGTGACATTATTGTAGTAGTACTGGTACTTGAAGGCTGACGTGGTAAATATAAGACTGGCAGCATTTACTTATCATTACAATTCCTGCTACCCATTTTAGTCTCGGTGGACACGGGGAAAAAAAAAAGGGGGGGGGGGGGGTCGGGAGGTAATGACATACACTTTTAAATGGGAGAGCTTAAAACATGATTTTAAAGTTTTCACTTTTTAATTATTCATATTTTATCTCAACTATTCTCATTTTTTATGGCGTTTTTTGTTTGTTTGTTTGCTTGTTGTTTTTATGTACAGTAATAAAGTTTACTTTGAGCTCTTTAAAAATTGCAAAAAGTTTTTGCATGTAATAAACAAAAACAAAAACAAAAAACAATTTCTCTTAAGTCTTAGTAATACACTTTACACAACTTTTCTGTAACTTGCTATGACTTTAATTTACTGTAATTTACAACAACTTTTCTAAAATTGACTACAACTTTTCTTAATTTGCGAAAAGATTTCCTAATTTATTGTAACTTTTAAGTAAGTTGCTTTATTATTTTCTGTATCTTGCTGTAATTCTTCTGCAATTTACAATATTTTCTGTAATTTACCGTAAATGTTCTGTAATTTGCTACACCTTTTTTCAGTTTTATATAGCTTTTTTGTTATCTACTATAAGTTGTTCTGTACTTAACGAAAAGTGTTCAGTAGCTAAATGTTGCTTACTTGAACCAGTCATGATTACAATAAACTGGCCCCAGGTCAGAGGGAGACTGCTGCCTGATGGAGCAGCCGGACCTTGTGTCCAAGGCCAGTCTCAGGAACTCGTCCATGGACCGGGCTGTGTACACTTTCATAAAGGTTTTACAGGTCACATTGACGTCCCACAGTTGAGGCTGAAAGCATGTCAACAGGCTGACAACATTTTATAATAGCAATGTTGGCAGTAGTAATTATGGTAGTGGCTGAGTAGTACAGTAGTGATGGTGGTTGTAATGGTAGTAGAAGTAGAAGCAGTAGTAGTAATTGTAGCAGTATTGTAGTGGTGATGGTAGTAGTAGTATAGTAGTAGTGATATTGAAGGTAGTGGTAGTAGTAGTGGCTATAGTAGCAGTAATAGTAGCAGCGTCGGCTCTGTGACTAAGTCGATGCGAACGCTTCGTAACGCCGGAATGCCGGGTTCGATCCCAGCTGCGGACCATGCGCCTTGCGTTGGTTTCGACAGTGGTATCAAGACAGCCGACCGTCTAGGCAATGGCAAACTAATGGACGTAAATTTTCATAGAAAAACCACACAACAGCCAGGCGCTGTCGAGGTTAGTTCTGCAACGTCCTGTAAAGGATACGCAACTCACCTAATAGTAGCAGCAGTATAGTACTGGCGATGATAATAATATCCGTAGTAGTAGCTGTGGTAATAGTAGTGCAGATGGTAATGATAACAGTACCTGATGTAGCCTTATTCTAGTATTGATGGTAGCAGCACCAGCAGCAGTAGTAATAGTAGTTTAGTACTGGTAATTGTAATAATATAGTAGTAGTAGCAGCAGCAGTAGTTGTAGTGGTAATAGTGTTGGTATTAATATTGTTTGTAGTAGCAGCAGTAGTAGTGGTTGTAATAATAAAAGTAGTTGCAGTAATTAGAGAAAAACTACATGCTGAAATAAATGGAACAATTGCATTATGCGACCCATTGCTGTCTATACTCTGCTGACGGCCTGCGGGTCAAATCCGAAGAAGAAAAGTACGGACATTTGTCAGGATCTGAATATGGATGAGGACTGGCTCATAGACAGTATCGTTTCTTGGAAGCGACAATATTTTGGCCATATTTAAGGCGGTAATAGGTTAGTTGTGTATCCTTTACATGACGTTGCAGAACCAACCCCAACAGCCCCTAGCTGTTGTGTTTTTTTTAGGCAAATTTACGTCCAGTAGTTTGCCATTGCTTCTGGACGATCGGCTCTCTTGATACCACTGTTAAAACCAACGCAAAGCGCATGGCCCGCAGCTGGGATCGAACCCAGCATCCCGGCATTACGAAGCGTTCGTTCGCATCGACTTAGCCACAGAGTCGACAAGGCGGTGATAGTCTGGAGGGAAACAGTAATGGCGTAGTGTTCCTGGAAGGGAAGGCAGGGGATGGCCAGCATACTAGTGGACACATGGAGTCAAGGACATCCTGGGGCTGGATATGAAAGTTCATGAAGCTGGACTGTTGGGCTGGAACAGTTTTCCAGTGTGTCGAGACAGAAGGAAACGTAGACGACACAAGGCAACTCGGACACGGACAGTAGAACAAGACAGAAAAGAAGGTAAAATAATACAGAATAGCAGAAAGGCAGCAGACTGGCAGCAATAGAGATTATTTGTGAATGCATTATGTGTAAGTCACGACACGAAGAACGTATAGACAGTGATGGGAAATATAAATATACATCACATGTTCAGTGCATTGAATGGGGTGCGGCGGGGGGGGGGGGGGGGTTAGCTACTGTCCTATCGTATTGGGAAGAAAGTCCCACTGGGTCCCACACCTACTTATGCATTTAGTTGGGTATCCTTCACAGGACGATGCAGAACCAACCCTAGCATGTTTTGGCTGTAGTGATTTTCCTAGGCAAATTTCACATCCAGTAGTTTGCCACTGCTTACTAAACAGTCAGCTCTCGGTACCCCTGTCAAAACCAACGCAAGACAAATGGTCCGCAGCTGGGATCAAACCCGGCTGCCCGGTTCACAACGCCTAAGCCACAGACGCAGACACTGATGCAAAAATTGGCTTGATTAGAATAATGCATACCTTTAAACTTCCACTTTAAATTGTTTTTCTTGTGTGGTGCCACAAACTGTTTGCGTTGTTTAACGTCTCCACTGATATAACCCGCACCTTCTAAATCCTTTTGACGAGGCAATTATATCAACAGATAAACAATGCATAGTTCCAGTTGGTACTCTTTGAAAAAATAAATATTTAAAAAAAGTATATACGTGTAGATGTGGCAGATGATCTCCAGATGGGTGTATCAGACGCAGGACATCTTGCTCAGGATAGGAAGGTTTTCCGGAGGATTGTTATGGCAGCGAGGTTCCGCGAGGGACATGCTACTGAATGAATGAATGAATATACGTGTAGAAATCGTCAAGCTAAACGGTTTGACCATATAATGTGAATGCCAACAAACAGTATACTACACCAAGCAACAACAACAACAACAACAACAAAAGTCACCCAAAAAATAACAATAAATGGTGAGAAAGTGAATGCCCAGGGTCTATAATAAACAGAAACGGAGACTGTTTAGCAGAAATTAAATGGAGGATGGTCATAGCAATACAAAGATTAAAAAGCCTTAAAAAAAGTGTGTGGTTGAGATCAAAATTATAATTTTGAGAGCATGAATCTTTCCTGAAGCAACACACAGATGTGAGTAGTGGACTATCTCTCAGTCCTCAAGAAAGTAAAGTAAAGATCTCTTTACACGCCCTTAGGGGCATCGGATATATGGGAAGAGCACCTATATTTTTTCAGACGAATCAGCACTCTGTGGGTAATGTGGTCAGCATTACGCCGGCCGTCTTTACTTTCCCAGGACAGCCCATACTGGTACCCATTTGAGGCTGGTTCGACCTGCGACGTCCCATACCACGATAAAAAATTCAAGCAGCACACGCAGGTTTCGATCGCGGTACGTATATATATATATATATATATATATATATATATATATATATATATATATATATATATATATATATATATATATATATATATATATATATACATATAAGTAATTTGTTTATCAAATACTTTTCTAACCGTTTCCAGTCACAAAGGAACACACATTTGCGACATCTACATACCTGTTTTATGCCATTGCACTCTGCACAAAATTTGTTGTAGTAGACTACGTGTGTTAAATTGTCTGTTGCCAAGGCAAAGGAATCATAACTGGTTTCGTTTTCCGGGATATTTGATTCACATTTTCGTATCACTTCATTGGAAGCCTTGACGTTCCGCAAACACGATCTTATGTAAGAGAACATTTGGATCTGCGTAGCATTCTAACTTAGGATATGCTTTGCTATCTTGGAAACTCACGGATTCCGTTTCTTTGGGAATATCGGAATCTAACTTGTGCTTATCATCTGCTTCTGAACTAAAAGTCCTTTCAGCTGCGACATTGTCTCCTGAATTTTGGTCACTGACACCTGCTTGTTTTGTTTCAGTGTTTCTGGCACCAGGAGCTGTGTAGTTTGGCGGGGACAAATATGGCACTGAAATATCGGGACAACAGATACCGTAGATTTGGCATTCGGGTTGTTTGCATGAACATTGAAAACAAACTATAGAAGAACAGTAATCGCTGCCTTCTTTCAGTTTTAGAACACTCCTCGTCTTTGCATCTATACGGACAGTAACTTTCTTCAAATTGTCTAGAAGAAAATTTTGTTTTATCCCAAAAGAATGTACTCTTGTGAGGTCCAATAGGGTCCACTTTGATATCACGATTGACATCGAAAATGTTTGTATTGTGGTCAGTTTGAGAATCATCAGAGGACGAAGTCTCCTCCGAATTTTTTCTTCCTGGATCTGAAAAGTCTTTAAAATATATATGAGATGTTGATGTGATTGTAGTAATGTCACGTTGAACGTCCTCAATATGCGAGGTCCCTGTGTCCAATATTTTTCTTGTAATTTGTTGGGTTAAAGATGCATTGTGTTTAGAATACAACGCACTGATGTCTGTCGAAGTGATCTCCCTGTCAGAAACTCCTGCTACAGAATTCCAGACAACAAAAACTATCACAAGAACACAAACCAAAAACACGTTCTCATTTTGATGCAAACGTGTTGCCATACTAATCAAAATGTGACTACTAGGCTGTGTTTGTTGATTACTCTGTATGTTAGACTGGGTTGCATTCAGTTTATATATGTGCCTACTGCAACTCAGTTCTCATAAACAGTCATTATGCTATCAGATTTTAGACCAATCGTCATATATTAACTTCAGCTGCATTTCAGTCATGTTCATGCGGCTTTAGAGGCGTTGCGCGTAGTATTGAGAGGTGGGTTCAGTGATAAAATGTTATAACAACTCTAAAATGTGTTGAGTGTTTTGAAAGGTAGATCTCCACGTTTTCTCGGTCTTCTAATTCTCTCAACCCTTTTTTCCCTCTCCCTCGCTCTGCTTCCGCCAACTCTCTGGCGATCCTCTCTTTTAACCCCTACCTCTTTCTGACTAATTCCCTCCTTATTGATGCTTTATATATATATGCGTGTGTGAGTGGGGGGGGGGGGGAGGGGTGCTGAACTAACAGATGGGAGAAATGTGCATTGAGACTAACTCTTACGAGAGAAATTGTTACATGTAATGTTTTACCTTTATTGAAAACTAATATGGGACACCGTCTTCTGAAAACTATGTTATGATTACGTTAACAAGAAAACTAAAAACGATGACTAGATCTAGGGAAAACTGAAATGTTACTATGTCTGAAGGGAAACTGAAATGTGACTACGTCTGAAGGGAAATTGAAATGTGACTACGTCTGAAGGAAAAATTAAATGTGGCTACTTCTGAAAGAAAAACTGAAATGTGGCCTACGTCTGGAAGCAAACTGAAATGTGACTACGTCTGAAGGGAAATTGAAATTATACTACGTCTGAAGGGAAACTGAAATTATACTAAGTCTGAAGGGAAACTGAAATGTGGCTACGTCTGAAGAGAACCTGAAATGTGACTACGTCTGAAGGGAAACTGAAATGTGGCTACGTCTGAAGGGAAACTGAAATGTGACTACGTCTGAAGAGAAACTGAAATGTGACTACGTCTGAAGGGAAACTGAAATGTGGCTACGTCTGAAGAGAACCTGAAATGTGACTACGTCTGAAGAGAAACTGAAATGTGACTACGTCTAAGGGGAAACTGAAATGTGACTACGTCTGAGGGGAAACTGAAATGTGACTATGTTTGAAGGGAAACTGAAATGTGACTAAGCCTGAAGGGAAACTGAAATGTGACTACGTCTATTGAACACTGAAATGTGAGTACGTCTATGGAAAAAAAGATTTCAGCTTTTACCACACTTGCTGAAGACTAGCAGTTGAGACGTGCGTGAAAAAAAAAGGTGACTACGTCTGTGGTGAATTGCAAAACTGAGAGCATATTCTATGAAGGCTTATAAATGAAATTTTACGCATAAAAAGCTGTGAACTGAGATGACACTTATGGGTAAATGTGAACTGTAATTACATCAAATAAGATTTTTAATATGTGATTACACCTGTGGGAAAACGAGAAACGTCTTTGAGAACTGAAACCAGTCCAGCTCATGGGATATCCTGTAAGTGATTACACCTACAGGACCTGTAAGATCTGGTTACTTGTACACGTGTAAAGAAATGTAAAACCTTGTAACTTGTACACATGTGAAGAACTGTAAAACCTTGTTGTACACGTGTGGCAAACTGTAAAACCTGGTTACATGTACACATGGATACGACGGTAAAAGCTGGTCACTTGTACACATCTGGCGATCTGTAAAATGTGAAGAAAGTGGGAGGGTGGCCATATCAACGAAACTAATCAATGTATAAATGTTTATATCACAATGCAGCCAAAACAACTGCAAACTCTGGTGCTACACATGAACTGACTGACTGACTGACTTTCTACCCCACCAGGACATCACACAAGCGATAAACACCAGACGACGCAATGTGCGACCATGTGGATGAAGATCACCATGGAGAGGTCCCAGAAACAGCTTCACACAATTGCCCTTTTTTATGGCCTGCCTATATTGCAGCCCCTGGCAAAAGCCAGGGTGGGGCTTCAAATAACAAAACATTTCATCCTAAAAAGAACGCAAGTGTTATGTACAGTGCACACATGAACAGACAGGAAGTGTAAGCAAGAGACCGCTTAAAAGATATAAATTGATAACATTAAAGAGCTTCTACATCAACACGGAATTGCAATAGCAATTGCTGCCCATCAAGCAACAGATAGCAAACTCCACTCCACTTAAGGACAAATGTCTAAATTGATGACAATGGTGATGATCACAGTACCTCATATAAACACATGGTTCTATTCACGTTGAGCGGCCTACAATGAGAGTGACTTCCCTTCCCATTCAACCTTGATCTGGTGTAGCCCTTGCCCAATATCGCAGGGGTGCATCATAGGTCGCATGACTGCAGGCATCGTATACAAGGGGCTGCATGCAGTCGTGGGACTTAGGCTGAGGCTGTGGAGTAGATGAAGGGGGTTGGGTGTAGGCCCAGTTGTACATTTTTTGGGACCTGTAAAAGCTCACAACATAGAAGAAGCGATATCGACGACCGCTGATAATAAAGAGTAAAATGCGACTCGTTACACCTGAAACCCCTACGACAAATTGCAAGCGCTATACAAGATCGAGGCATCAATGAGAACTGAAGTCACTCTCATTGTGGATCGGACATCGCTTTGTGTACCTAACCTATTTTTTTCTCTCTCGAATTGTTTTCCCTATCCTTTGACTGTCTCCAGTATCCCCGTTTGGGTTTCTGGGTCCTATTTACAAGCATGTCACAGGAGGACAAATTAGGAGTTTTTAACTTGAATGTGTGAGTGCATCTGCACACAAACAAGCCGATGTGTACGACGAGTGCACGGAAAAGTCGGTACTTTTCAGTAAAGTTCTAAAGAAGACCAAAGTCCAACAGAGGACGAAATTCCACAGCTTTCCAGCGGAGTTTGCGCCGGTAAACGTTAATAAAAGGAATAATAATAATAATAATAATAATAATAATAATAATAATAATAATAATAATAATAATAATAATAATAATAATAATAATAATAAGAAGAAGAAGAAGAAGAAGAAGAAGAAGAAGAAATCTACCTACAGTTTACCAGTGTGTGTGTGTGTGTGTGTGCGCGCGCGCGTCTGGGCTCGTCTGTCCATCTTCGACTCGTTGATATAAAACATAAAACCAATTGGATGTAGAAAACCCTACCAAGGGTTAAGTTATACCGTGTGCATTGTTATTTAGGTCATTGGAACACCCAAACCCCTTTTCCACATCTAAGCTAAATGTAGCAGCGGGAGTTGGTACTAGAATGTTTAGGCATACTAAACCTAACAGGGTTTCCACATGTGGGTTACGGGGCCCTATTGTGGGGGAAATAATAACAGAAGTACTGCACCCCAACAAGCATTTCGTAAGCGGACTAACTGGTATTTTGGTAGTTTCATATGAAATCGGAGCAAATGTGCATACAAACAGGCTAGATCTGTAAACTGGATACGCACGCAACACTCAGACTCTGGGAGAAGACTAAAGTCCAGGGTTGGAAGGAACAGCCAGAACTTTCGGTTCAAGTTTAAAATCGGTGAACGCATAGAAGGAGAAGAAGAAGAACCCAACGAGGATGAACATTCAATATATAATTATGTGGTCATTGTGTATACGCCTTTGGGAAAGCAAAGATAGCAAGCCACACAAGATATATCCGCCCTATCGAAATCACTAACAGAGAAACGCCTGTAGTAAAAATCACCAGGGCTAATGCCTCCCTCTCTCTCTCTCTCTCTCTCTCTCTCTCTCTCTCTCTCTCTCTCTCTCTCTCTCTCTCTCTCTCTCTCCATACATCCACAGCAGTCATACAAAGAATCAACTTTCACGCGTGAAATTGACTGAGTAAATACGACCTCTCATTATTATGTTTACTAAATACGAGTATAAATCCGAGTCAGAAAAAAGTAAATAGCCCGGATTGTATTTACAAGTTAACAGCAACCACTACGTACATCTAAATTTGTTATTTTCTCTAACTGATGGTTTTATTAAGCCAGACTCCATGGTGAAAGGCTCAAGTTAGATGCTAATGCACAAATAATTTAACTGTTTGTTCTGAATAGTCAGTGCTTTCAATCTGCACTTACAGATCGGAAATCTGGTATTTTTAGTCAGTATGCTTCAAACGATCTAATCAGGTGACAACTTTTGATTATGAGTCGATAGTAGCTCAGCATTTAAAAACAAACAA